TTATTTATCTTTTGATATTCATTTGACTTTGTTTACATGAAATTGTCAATTAAAGGGAAATATTTTTTTATAATAATTCTTGAAATTTGTTTCTATTGTCAAAAAAAAAAGGAAAAAAAACGTGAAAAGTGTGTTGGAAAATCAATTCCCACCAATAGATTTTCAAGGAAAATCAAGAAGATCACAATTTTCAAGACAAACAAGGAAATCAAATTCTATGGAAAAAAGGTCCTATCAAAGACCAAAAAAGTTGAAAAATGGAATTCATCCATGAAATTCAAAGCCAATCAAACATGTAGTGAATTATACACATTCTTATTTTTTGAGTCATATATCAGTTAAAATTAGGTTATTATACCTAAAATACTCTTGTAAAAAAAATAAAAAATTCCAGACTTAGCAACAATTTAATTTATTCTCTTTAATAATAAATTAATAGTAAACAATTTTGAATGAATCATGCTAACAATGCTTGATATAATGATTAACATAATTTCACATGAAATTTTATTATTGGACTGTTTAAAACATAGTTAGCTTTTCCACCCAATCACATCCTGCCACATTGCCTTCGAGCAAAGAATCTGATCAAATTTTTCTGTCACAGTGGCATTTTCCATTTTGAACACACATGCTAATGAAAATTTAAACTTGAAAAATAGGAAAGAATTTTGTAATAAATGATTCATAATTATTTTAATTAATTATTTGTATTGTGCATAGTTTAAATATTTATTATAAATTCATAAATTAAAACAAGGTGTCAAATATAACCATATACTTTTTTACAAATCAAGTAAATTTAGCTAAAAACAGTATATGTGAGTTCATTAATATTACTTATGAACAAAATAAGTAAATTTATATAATTTAAATTTAAATTAGTCGAATATGTAAAAAATCAATTTATATAGCTTATACTTTAGTTTGTGCAAATTAACTACGACTATTTAGTATATATATATATATATATTTATTTATTTATTTATTTATTTATTTATTTAAAAAGTGATAAGGGATGTATTTAATACTTAAAACTGAAAATAAAGGAGATTAGTATGATTTTCCGAACGTTGAGGCGTCTCTGATTTGTCATAAAATTCAAATGGTACCTCTAATGCTGTCTCTTACTTATAATTAGTAAAGTTAGATTTTTTTTTAACTTAGCCAAACATGCAATAACGCATCCGATCAAGAATATTTCACTAACAATTTCTTTGGCCCCATCTATATACTATGCCTTCTTGATATGTGCAAAGTGTTCGAGTAGGTATAAATTCGTATAGTTACGCATTAATTTAATGCAATCCTCCAATCCTAATAGAACTCTTGTTCATATAATGACTATGCCTCTACTTGGTATTGATTTAAATCATATTTTAATTTCAGTTAAAGTCAAACAATCAATATTAACCATATTTTTTAAGGGTTCTACAACTTTTCAATCATACATTTCAAAATTTTTTAGAAATTTAATTTTAATCCCCACTAAACATGGTTGTTGGTGACTTTACGATAAGAAATTTCTAATAAAGGGTGATCCCTTAGCCGCCTCACTTAAAACGAGGGTCATCTCATAAGAATTTAAGTCTCAAATGTAAGAATTATTCCACGGATGTTCTACAGGACAGTCACATGAGGGTGGGCCTCATATGAATATTTTATGGAGGTGGGTCTTATTAGTGTGTTTATTCTGTAAAATATCTGTATAAATTTTCCCCATACTTGTAGACCGCTTTTGCCGGCAAAGAAAAACATTAGCCAGACACCCTAAAGTAACGATTGGACCAACATGAAAGCAAATGAAGTCAAACAAATTATTCTGGGGAATAATGTTTAACTTGTATCAAATTTATATCTTCCAACGTGTTTCCCACGAATTTTGCGGTCCATATATGAGCCACCGACCACATTTTCAAAAAATAAGTTTTTAAATAATGGAATCAAACGGGAGCCCAATATAGTATTAATTAACTAGGTGAGCCACCGACCATATTTTCTACTCATTAAAAAAAAAAAAAAATTGTTCACTGTTTTGCAAATTCTACAAACTAATGAGAGCAATATTATAAATACAGATTTTTTCTACAAATTTTGTACAGGAGGACAGCTGTCTTTTTATAATTGACTGTTGCCAAAAACAATTTTTGACGACAGCAAGTCACAGGAAAACAACTATCTTTCTATGCCAATTCTGTTTAAGAAAAATTTGTACTTGCAGATTAATCCAACTAATGATGCGCGAGAGTTTTTTGAACGTCGTGGCGTTATTATCAATTAAAGATCCACAAAGCACAAAAGTGGAATGAAATTAGAGGAAACACAAAATAGAAATCTAATATGCAATAGAAAAATGTAAAATATACACTAACAACCAACGTTATGAAAATCGTTAAGCCCAATCGATTCAACCTGTAAAATCAAGAATCGACCCCAGATCCATGTCAATTGACCGAAAACCTGGCGTAAAAAACCCGTAAAAGAAACTCCAAAGATCTACCGAAGCATTTACCTTGACTCGTTGGGTGGCTTGGGCCACACAGTTATTACCTGCCAAGACTTAACTAATGTAATAATTCACATAATTTTTGAGTTGAACTGATGAAATAATTCACATACTTTATTATAAATTATTATGTTCAAAATCATTGAGTTTAGGAAACATTTAATTAGTGCAATTCCATATAAATTACACAAAATATAGAGCATCTTAGTGGTTATGTAGCTTTTACACACACCCAAATGGCTCATCAGTCATATGGTATCAAATAGCAAAATGGTAACAAGTGATGCACACACATTTTGCAATATAAGGGTAACAAAATCAAATTTTTTTTTTTATAAAGGAATAAAATTTCTAACCCTTTTAAAAATATTTCTTAATGCTGCCAATATAACCCAAAACAACCTTTTTCTTTAATTTCATTTACTCGTCAAATATTATCTGTATTGTGGTCGATAATCCGTATGTCAATGGACAATCATTTTAAATATAATAATTTGAATAATTTAAGAAATTGAGTATTGAAATATGTAACTTATTAAATATATTACTTATAAAGTAAGAATAGAAAGAGAGAGAGTCTTGTATTTAAAAAATCTCTTGGAATGCTTTAATTAATTTAATAATTAATGCAACTTGAAAACCACAAAAATAAGAATAATGTTATTTAGCCTCCATTGAGATTATAATTCCACTCTATGTGACGTTAACTTGGCATTAAATGTTAAGTGAAATTAAATTGGTCATCCAATTCAACCTTTCATTTAATCTACTATCTAACATCACACAGATTGGAGTTATAACTCCAATTTGTGTTAAATAGCATTACTCTGAAACTAAGAATTGAGGACAGTAAAATCATAAATGCTCTTAATTGTAAATATGAAAATTAATACAAAATTTGTTAAGGCTAATTATATTCACACAATGATTTTTAATAACTAAAATATATTTTAATTGCATGAAAGTTTTATGATATTTAAATTCTTTATAAGCTATCACTTTTATGTCTCAAAATTTTTTCATTGCATTTTTATTCTCAAATTAACATAAATTATTTCTTATTATGATTTCTTTCCAAAATTGTATTTAAAATAAAGTAAAAAGATATATTTGCCCTTTGTATTTTTAAATAAGCTAAACAAATAATAACGCAAAAATACGAATAAATATTTGGCCCTCATTTCAAAGCACATTTACAAAAACAATAAATTTGAACAAAAATTATTATTAAGGACAAGATTTTTTTATCAATGAAATGTTAAAAATAAGAATGTGAGGGAAAAAAGTTTAGGAATAAGTGTGATAACAGATAAAAGTCAAAGACATGTAATTAAAATGTGGAATATTTATACAAAAAAATAAAATAAAATTGGAATGTGATGAGAGCCATTCAATGATAATGTAAAATAGAGATTTAGATATTTAAGGTGATCGAAGATTTCTTCAATGGAGAAATGCAAAGGGAACCGTGCTTTACATCTAGGGCGCCAAATGGTGAACAAGCCCCCCACCTATAAGGGGCATCGTCCAGGGCCTATATGGTCCTAGACAAGTATCTTTATTCATGCAAAGGACATACAAATTGTATTTTTCTGTAGAAAGTTAAAACAAGATGTAAATTTACAGTATTTTTACATACAAAATAAGTAAAAAGTTGATTTAAAACTTTCATTGGAGCAAAATTAGTTTGTGTTTGATTGCGAACATTGAATTGTATGGAAAGAAACTAAATTCTAGACAATTCATTTGCATAGAACTTATTTATATGAAAATTATTAATTAAAATGTATTTGATTGATTTAGTTTTCAATTTAAAAAATATTATACTTGTCCATTTTTTATTGTTAGATAGATGATAGAAAGGGAATAGATGTGGGAGGGGAAGAGAGAATAAATTATCTGGAAAATAAAAAAATCGCTCTTCCTTAAAGAAATTGTTTTTCTTGTTTTGAGAAAAATATGATTAAATGACCAAAGGTTGAAGAATATTTTCTATGGAAAAATTGTCAATTAAACACCAAAAAAGTAAGAGTTTAGGTAAAAAAAAAAAAAAAAATTATATTTTACATAGAAAATAAAGTCAAATAAGCACACTCTTAAATGAAATTACAAAAATAATATTAAAATATCAATTTTCATTTTAATTTTACATCATCCTTGAATACATTCTAACAAATTCAAGAAACAATCAAACAAAACACCTAAAAACCTACAAATGTTTGGGAGACATTTTTATGTAAAAATGTATTTTTGAATAGTAAATTGATGGAAAATGTATGGTTGAAAAATAAAGAAATTTTTTTGATTTACGTGTAATATTATTTTAATAAAGAATGTGTGATTGAAAAAAAGAGAGAAAAATGTATTTTGAAAAAAATGGGTACCGAACGGGCTCAAACAACAGAAAAAGAGAGAACCATCCTCGTAAAACGGCTATTTTTCCTTGTTTGGGCCCCACACGTTTCACCCTTTATATAAAGGAAAATTCATGCGTGTTTCTCTCCCTCTTTTCCTCTCTACGCTACGACTCCCTTCTCCTCCGGGTTCTGCAAGCCGCCGCCCAATCACACCAAAACACAGAGTTCGTCGGGGGAGATGGCAACCGCAGACCATGAAGTCGCGGAGAATGGAAATGTGGAGCCTCCGCGATCGTCTTTGATATTTCTCGGCACCGGTTGTTCTAGCGCGCTTCCAAACGCGATGTGCTTGATTCAGCCCTCGGATCCCCCTTGTCACGTCTGTTCCCAGTCACTATCTATACCGCCGGAACAAAACCCTAATTACAGGTATTTTTCATTTTCCTATGTAATAGCGCTTGCTATTCTAATTTTCTCCAGAACTAATCAAATCTTTCGAAGAAATTGATCTTTAGATTAGATTTCGCATTGTCTGATTAAACATTGTTCTAGCATTATTTTTCCCAGGTTGTTGGTAGTTATTGTACAAATTTTAGAAAACGGGGTATGACATGTCGTTATATCATATGTGGTTGTTGGAAATGTAGGTGCAATACATCTTTACTTATCGATTATTGTGGTGGTGATCATAAATATATATTGATTGATGTTGGCAAGACGTTTAGGGAGCAAGTGCTCCGGTGGTTCACATATCATAAAATTCCGCAGGTGGATTCTGTGAGTATTCCGTACCTTTTATTCTTTCCTAATTTTATTTTTTATTTTTACTTTTTTTATAAATGTAATATACATACTAGATAGTAGATCCAATTTATTCTAAATCTATTTTAACAAGTCTCTCGGTGTAAACATTTAGGCCTGCTTTATAATGAATCATAGCCATGAAATTGCATCTAAAACATTCACCATATGCCAGGGGCTCAAATGCTTATGTGCTCGTGAAGGAGAAGCAAAATTCACCTTCCATTAGAGAAAACTGCAATTATTAACTATAGTGGATTCATTGAGATTATACCAACTGTTTATGCAGCACCGGCATGCCCAATACCTAGATAAATTTACTTCTGGTGGTGATACTAGATGTCTGATTGTCTGTTAGTAACTGGCACGTTTTAATAGTCGAGAACTAGAAACTTGTGTGGCTGTAAATTCTCCATCTAGATTTTAGATATATAATTAACGCTAACCTGGAAGAAAGGATAGACAAGCAATAATACTCCAGTTATCTCTCTCCCCTGAACCCTTTCAGGTAAATCACCGTGGTGGGGCTATTATACCAGATAGTACTATACTGAAGAGCCTTAGGAAATTCCCCCATATATACAATAGGATTCCTCTGGGTTTGTGTGTCAAATTTCAAGTACGAGCTCACCCAACCGCATAGTAGTTAAAGCATGGGATGAGAGAAAGAAATAAAGCGCAATGAGACCCCTCTTTTTTCTTACATACAAGCCTTAGAGAGCACTCGCTAGTGATCAGCCACACTGGAACTAAGACACGATCCAGACTCCTACTGAAGGCAGCAGTGGAGAATTTTTCGACATTGTGTACCCCCTCCATCATTCGGAGGTGGAAGAAGGGGTGTTGCCAATTTCTATTTATACATATTAGGGCCCCAGAAGCCAAGAGGTGGCTGAGCAAGAGTTGTCACAATATACTTGTAAATCCTTTGCTCTTTTTCCTTCTCTCTTCCAGCTCTCTCCCTATACTTTGTTTTTACTTTATTTTCCACAGATTTGATGAACTATATTAAAAATATTGAATTATCAACTAATATGTATTATTCTAGTGAAATGACCAATGTATTTTCCTTTGACCAACATGCTTGTAAATCCTTTGCTCTTTTTCCTTCTCTCTTCCAGCTCTCTCCCTATACTTTATTTTGCCAAAGATGTGATGAACTACATTAAAAATATTGAACTGTCAACTAATATGTGTTATACCTAGTGAAATGACCAATGTATTTTCCTTTGACCAATATTGTTAGCCATGAAATATACTTTTAGAATTCAATACACCTTCAATGTTGATCACAAAATATCTTGTTGTGCCTCCTTATTAATTTTGATTTCTCATTTTTATTAATGCCGTGCATGCTCTGTGTGTGTATATTTTTTATGTTTTTTTTGGGGAGTTTTAATTGCTCTTTTTTCTAATGTTCCGTAAGTTTGAACCTTAACGTTACGAAGGGAATTACAGAAGGAGAATTTACGTATTGAGAGCAAGAGTGAGATAGAGGTAGGGCTTATACACAGTCATTTAGTAGATGCTAATTAGAATATTTTCCCTAAATTACAGAGTCTGTACATGAGGACATGTAGCAGATGGTAATTTTGGCATTTTGACTAAATTATCAAAGATGCTAATCCAATCAATTTCCCTAAGTTTTAAAAGATCTATATGAAATACATACTCACTATCTGAATGATCGCATTCTCTAAATATTGGTAGTTGGATTTTGTTTACATATAGTATAGACTTGCTAAGGTACTGGTGACATCTTATCTTTTCATATAGTAGATGGTAATTTTGGCATTTTGACTAAATTATTAAAGATGCTAATCCAATCAATTTCCCTAAGTTTTAAAAGATCTATATGAAATACATACTCACTATCTGAATGATGGCATTTTTTAAATACTTTGTTTACATATAGTATAGACTTGCTAAGGTACTGGTGACTTATCTTATCTTTACATATAGTAGATGATAATTTTGGCATTTTGACTAAATTATTAAAGATGATAATTCAATCAATTTCCCTAAGTTTTAAAAGATCTATATGAAATACATACTATCTGAATGATGGCATTCTCTAAATATTGGTAGTTGGACTTTGTTTACATATAGTATAGACTTGCTAAGGTACTGGTGACTATCTTATTTTTTCAACTCCATTATGAAGAATGATATTTCTCTTGGTTTACATGAAAAGGGTATATTGTTCTTTTTTTTCTATGTATTTGAGAAAAAAATTTGTTTCATGAGCTTACTAGGGTAAAGCTGGGTGAGATTTAAACACACACTGCACGGTTAGGCGAATAATCCAGCAACTCAATGCTATCTCACCAACTTATTCGTCTTGTTCTCAATTAGTCATTTGTAAACAATCAAATCTAAAGCGTAAAAGTATTTAGCTTATATTTTGACATCTTCAGGTTATCTTAACTCATGAACACGCTGATGCGGTTCTTGGCTTGGATGATATACGTGCGGTGCAACCTTATAGTTCAACAAATGATATTGATCCGACACCCATCTACCTCTCCCAAGATGCCATGGAGAGGTACTTTTCACTTTTGTTGTTATTTATACATTAATTATGATAGCCTTAATAATATGGTTTGGTCTAATTTCTTCTTGTTATAAACATGATGAATATGGTTATGTATTGGCTGAGATAATAACTGGTGTGAAAATTGGTTTACAGTACTTGTCAAAAAGTCACAAATTGCATTCAACTTCACTGTTACTGTTTCTTTGCCTTTGTTGGGAAACAAGTAATTAAATGTTACTTCTACTACATAGTGAAAGTCAAACTTTAATTTCAACAACACATTCAAAATTACTACTCATTATTATCCACACATTTTGTGGTCCCCACCATTATTCTTGCTAAAAAGTTCCTAAAATGTTACTAATAATCTTTCCCTTACAGACAATTTGTTTTTAATTTTGTGGATCTATGATGAAGTTAGGAGTTTGTTATGGTGTAGAATTTTAGAATACAGTTTCTTATCATGGTCACTCCATTAGCATTATTATGTTAACTGATATGTCTAAAATGGGGAAATGAGGTTTTTCTTTCTGGGCAGAAGATAATGTTGATTACTAGGCCTTGATATGCTATAAATTTTCATATATTCGTTTGACTATCTGTTTTGATGGCAGGTCTTCGCTATGTGTTTGTGAAGGAAATATGTGCACATCGATTTGTGATATGTTACTCTCTTTCATGTATTATCATCTATGAAACTCTCCATGTTGTATTTTGAGTTTAAGGATCCTGCTCCTTTCATTAGTTAATAAGCTAGCATATCATATTGAAATTTTGACAAGCCATCTAATCTGTTGGGTTTAAATAATGGCGTGTGTAGATATCTTCTGTTTGTTTTGTAACCGACATGTATCTTGCCTTATAAGTATGATTGATATTTTATCCGATTGATTGTTGATTACTCTGGAACAGCATTGCAGTGAAATTCCCTTACTTAATTAAGAAAAAACTCAAGGCTGGGCAGGAAATCAGACGTGTAGCACAGCTTGACTGGAAGATTGTAGAGAATGACTGTAAGAAGCCATTCATTGCATCAGGACTTCAATTTTTTCCTTTGCCAGTTAGTTTCCTTCACCATATCTTGGTTTTCTTCTCATATATCTCATTTATAGATACCTTCTATAGAGTCTATTGTTTATATCTATGATGCACCGACACACACATGTGTGTCCGACACATATACATTGACATGCGATTTTCAAAAAAGTACCGACATGACGCGTCACCACACATTGATTAAATTCTTTAAAACTCTTCATTTATATTGTATATATTTAGTTTTACACTTGCTATTAATATTTCTTGTTGAAATCTTTCAAATAGAAATATCTATTTGTTATTTACTAATAATTTTTAGGTAAAAAATTATAATATTAATAAAAAAGAAAAATAATCATGGTAGAGTATTCGGCATGTGTTGGAGTCGGACACGCTATTCTAGTTGAAGTGTCGATGCTACAGAAGTTTATATGTTCTTAACTTTTGGTACAGGTAATGCATGGTGAAGACTATGTATGCTTAGGTTTTCTTTTTGGTGAAAGATGCAGAGTGGCATATATATCTGATATTTCACGCTTTCTTCCACCCACAGAATATTGTAAGCAACTGAGTATCTCCTGTCCTGCAATACTTTGCTTTTGAATATTGCGTCAATAATCATTGTGTATTGGTGTAAATATGTATGCACATATTGGAGAGGGCCTTCATACTGTAGTTGTTTCAGTATGGCATTTGAGTATTATAAGAATTTGCATGCCCCCTTGCAAAAACTCAAGTATTAGAAATAACTACCGTTGTTTTGGGATTTTTCTTCACAATGAGAAATTAATTACCACTTTCTAAGATGGTACATGGTAATTTGTAAAGGAAATTTACAAATTCCATTTTTATATAAAATTATATTTTTACTAATTGGAATTAGGATTGAATTTTCTATTAGGACACCTCTATCTAACAATTTTGATGTTTTTAATTTGGCAAATTCAAAAGCTAGTGATTCAAAAGTAAATGTTTGTTAAAACTTCCTGCTGGCACCTTTTTCAAAAAAAAAAAAAAAAAAAGAACTATTGCTTTACTACACTATAATCTTTTATAAGCACACATGGGATAAGATCAGGGGGGTATTCTAGATTCCAGGAGAAAAATCCAGATTAATTAAGTTTTAAGCTTCTAACAGACCAATATATCTAAAACCTAGAAATCGTTATCGTGGATCATCTCCTGCAGAAAAATAAAAAAATAAATAAAGAAGCAGTGAAGAAGCCTCAAGTATAGAAAAGTGATTAATTATGCAATGTACATTCATCCTGCTAGCTACATGTAAATTTGAAGCCATTTATTAAGGTAGCGTTGGCCATTGCAGATATTTCTAAAGATGGAGGTGGACAGTTAGATCTTCTTATCTTGGACACACTATACAAGGTTAGTCTAGTGATAAGTTATTGGTAAATTTCATTTTTTGCTTATTTGAATTGTTGTTAAGTAAAGCAAAACTATTATGTTTTGCTTGTATAATACCCACCTCTTCATGCTTATTTTTAATTGTTCTTAAGTGAAGTTAAACCAACATGCTATTCATACCATACCATTTTTAGTCACAATAAAACATTTTAGCGTTGACACACTTCAACCTCCTTTTTGTGTTTGAATCAGTAAAATGCATTTCTTGTTTATTTGATAAGTTGCAGGTGCAAAAATTATTTTTCTGGTTTGGTTTTTTTTTTTTTTCTTTTCAGTCTAAATTTCTCCTTTCTTTCATTCCATGTATTGATAGATAATAAAAGATTTTTCCTTCTATTCTCCTAACCTTCAAGTATAAATATAGGCTGAATTATTCCATACTCAATCAAGCTTATATATAAAAGTGTAATCCTATCTATAGAAGGAAAAGGAAAAAGAAAAATCATATGACTAAAAGGAAAAAATATTAATTCCTAGCTTGACTAGGATATAAGATATATAGAAATATTTCTATAATCTCCTATTTTAACTCTCTTCTTCTAACTGGTTATTTTGTTTCTTATTCTATTTTTTCTTTTTTCTTTCTCTATCGCAGAAGGGTTCTCACAACACTCACTTTTGCTTTCCTCAGGTTTCTTTCCTTCTCACTATTTAATGTCCCTTGGATTTATTTTATGTTATTTTTGTCAGAAGTTCTGCTTGTGTTACATTGCCAAAATATGTCTCCAGACTCTTGATGCAGTGAAGAGATTATGCCCGAAGAGAGCTTTATTGATAGGAATGACCCATGAGTTTGATCACCACAAGGACAATGAATTTCTTATGGAATGGTCTAGAAGGTATGATTTATTGCATTTCCTTATGGGCAGTCCTAAAAAGTAGCTTGGCCAAAAAGGCCTCACAAGGTATACTGAAAATCTTAATCATTTGTTTCTGCTTCTAGGGAAGGAATACCAGTTCAGCTGGCACATGATGGGCTGCGGATCCCTATTGATCTTTAATGAGGTAAGGTTTCATGGATCAAATATACACTATTCAGAATGGCACTTTTTGTTAAGCAATAACATCTTTAGTTATGTAAATGCTTATGGATTAATGGTTCTTATTTTAGTTTAGTGTTAAATTAATTCGCTGCGGCAGAAACTTATACTGAAATGATTGTGAGAAAAAGAATGATAAATAATTATGAAAATGAGAATCTAAGCCCCGTTTGATTCCCATTTTTTTCAAAATGCATTTTTTTATCTCTTCTTTTCAACCACACACTCTTCATTAAAATAATATTACACGTAAATCAAAAACTTTTCATCCACACATTTTTCATCAATATACTATTCTAAAATTCACTTTTCCGTAAAAATGGGTGTCAAAACACCCTCTAGTAATATTCCTGCTACAATAATTAAGTTAGTGATCTAAATAGAAAATTATCTTCGAGTGAAGTATGGCTCCAATTTTGCTCTTTTTTTTTTT